GGATAAAATAATGCCATTTGCAGCAACACTGATAGACCTGGAGAATGTCATTCTAAGTGAAGTAAGCCAGAAAGAGAAAGAAAAATGCCATATGATATTGTTTATATGTGGAATCTAAAAGAAAAAGGACACAAACTCATATAAAAAACAGAAGCAGACTCAAAGACATAGAGAACAAACATGTTTATCAGGTGGTAAAGTGTGGGGTGGGAAAGGAAAAATTGGTAGTTTGAAATCTGCACCTTTAAGGAGTGATGGAAATGCTAGCTATCTTGATTGTGGTAGTGGTTTCATGGGTGTATACACCTATCAAAATTCATCAAATTGTACATTTGAAATATGTGTAGCTTACCACACAGGAATCATACTATAATAAAGGTGTGAACAAAAAACCCAAAAGGATTCGCTATTTACAAGTTCCCAGGAGGCTGATTGATGGGAACCAGGTGACAAAAAAGACTTTCAATTTGTAATGGGAAATACAGCCACAACCAAGGTTCAGAGATGTCTGAAAAAAAAAAAATCTATTGGACCTAAAGTAAAAGTAATCAAGGAAGATCTTTCCTGGGTTTCTAGTAATACATTTACCAACCTAACTTTACAATATTAGTGTAACTAATACACTAGCACACAAATTACCATATTCTTCCAATAAGGCTGAAAAGCACATTCTAGACTAAGTATGCAAGCATCTTAACCTAAAAAGCCTTCAGTAAGACAGATTTGATGAAAACACCCAAGATAATAAGCCATTTCAATCTTTTGGATGTTTTCGAAGCAATAATTTTATCCTTTGTTATTTCTCTTTTTCAAAAGATAGGACATTCAGCCACTTGAGATTCACTGAGGTTTCTGGCAGCAAGAGCGGTCCAAAGCTAATCTTCCCAGCAACACGGTGACTATGAAGCAAGGTGGGCTCGAAAGTCCCCAGTGAGCACTTTGCTTACTCATGTTTCTATACGCTAAGCCTTGCTAATCCCTTTGTAAAAAAATATATTTGTCATGTTGCTCAGCTTGCTGATTAGAACTGAATAGCTCTGAGCTAGAAATCTGAAATGTAGAGAAGAGACAGCTGTGAACACCACTGAGGTGCCGAGGGAGCGCCCACGCCGACTCTCCTCCTCGGGCCCCCTGGGCTCCACCTGTCTGCATCCCAATTTTGAGTGTTGGGCATCCTGTGTCCTTTCTTCTTTTGCCCTCTCCCCCAACCTGCTCTGCCCCTGGGATGTTCTTTCTGCCAAACCATCTGATGTTCTTTCTCTGAAAGTTGAAACTGACCTTCCTAAGAGAACTCCATTCTGCCGCCGTGCGTTGAGAGCACATTGGGATTCCCATCATGGCAGAGTTTATGGTGTTAAATCATAACTTATCTATTCTCCTGTCTGATCCCCCACAGCTGTCTGAGGTCCTTTAGAGCAGAGCCATATCTCACCGCGTGGAAGAAATGGTGGTGTATCACCAGGATCCTGTTCTTTCAGGAGGGGCGACAGGCTGTGTACTTTGGCTGACACGCAGGTAGGACTGCCAGCAGACTGAGAAGCCATTCCAAATCTGCCTCAGAAACACCCTATTTTGTCAGGAAAAACCAGGTCCGCACTTCAAACCAAGTCTGGGGAATGACACACGCATCACCCGTTGGCAAAGGACGGGACACGCACTATGACGAAAGTGCTGTTTAGTCTCAGGCAAAAATAAACTGTAATTCAGTCAAAACTAATAAAAATTCATACTTTTCATATTAAGGGATAGAGGGGCTATATTTCTGAAAAGATCTTTATTCCAACGGGGCTCTTTAGAGCAGTCAATTTTAGAATTAAAATGAGTAAAAATTCAAAGAGTCTTGTGCCAATTGTAAATCTTTGTTGTCATCACAATTTGGTCGTGATTAATGTTTAAAGACTGAAAGACCATTATTTTACCTCCAGGAAAATTAAGTCAGGTAAAGAAAATTAACCCGAAGTGTTCTCTGAACTTCATATTTACTCTAAGACATCACCTTATTTTACTCAAACTGCTTTCCTCCGTGAAAACTTTCCCAGGATTTCAACCTTGCAGAGCTCAACCTCTCCAAGTCACTTCAGAAATTACAATTGACATCCCGACCTTAGCCTCACGATTCCTTGTGTGGGCCAGTCTCAGTCTGCTCTTCTGGTTAAATAAGAGCCTGATAAAAGAAGAAATCCTGACTTATCCATTTTTCTGTCTATCACAGTACTTGAGAAGAACCATGTACACAAAATACCCAGAAACTCTTGTTCACTGGTTACACAGAGGAAATAATTCTAGCCAACAAAGAAAAAGTTTTCATCTTTTCAATTATAAATTTCTGCAGACTTTAAAAATGAACAATTAGGTACAATGTGATGAAACTCATAACCCAATGATCTTCTTTCTGAGACCCTACCCACCCCCCAAAACCAAAACTATGAAAACTATATGAATAAAGGTGTTCATTCCAGAATTATTTATAGTGGCCTCACATCAGATACAACAAAGGAATGCATAAATGTTACCCCATGGGAACATTACATAGCCATTTAAAATTGAACTAAAAGTTTCTATCAATCTCTAAACCAAACATAAATAATGTTAAGTATGAGAAGAATGATACAGACTGGCAGGTATAATCAATCGTAACTATACAAACATGGATATTAAAAGAAAATGGAAATAATACAGATTATGATTGCTCTTACAGTCTGTTGTACAGCTGTGAGCTATCAAATTTTCTTATCTCTAAATTTTTATTGTTGCTACATTATTTTCATAATTAAAAATTGGAGTATTTTCCTTCTAATGTTTGTCACCAGAAATTCCAAATCTTGTGACGGCTCTCATCCCCTCCTTCACTCTTCCTCTGGATGGGAGGGTTAATCCCTTCTATCCTACCTCTCAACGTCTGCCCATCACTCTTAGTTTAGAAGTTCTATCACTTATTGCTACTTTGCTAGAGTTTACACTCCCATCTTCAGCAGTCTTATTTAAACCCTAACGTAAAGCTCTCTATAAGTATATATCAAAATGAAACAATCACTTTACCTGCCCACTGGGATGAGATCTTTAATACACTTGTATGCCTTCCAATCCTTCCCATACCCTCCAACTCATGGGTTTGGTTAAAATAACATGAAATTTAAGTTTGATCATTTAAATTTTTCCTTAAGAACAAATATAATGGCATACCCTAGGGTGACTCGCAATGAGTCACTCCCTTGTATAATTCCCTCCCACTGAGTGTGAGCTTCTAACCAACAGCGTTTGGCAAAGTTTAAGAGATTTTGAAGATGCAGTTAAAGTCTCTAATCAGTTGACTTTGAGTTAACTGTAGGTGGGCCTGACCTAACCAGGTGAGACCTTTAAAGAGGTGCTCTCTCATCATTGCTGGGTTTCAAGAAGTAGGCTGTCAAGAATTCTACAGCCACAAGGATACGAATTCCGTCAACAACTTGGGGAGACTTGGAAGCTGATTCTTCCCTATCTGAGCCTCAGGTGAGAGCTCAGTCCAGCCAACACCTTGATTCCAGCCTTGGATTCCAGACCTTAACCAGGGAATCCATTATCTATGCCTGGACCTAGGAAGCTGTTAGACAATAAAAAGACGTTGCTTCAAGTCCCTATCTTACAATAATTCATTGTGCAGCAATGATCATTAAAACAGTAAATATGCCTACTTTTTCAAGATAGTTTTCTTCACCATTAAATCAGCATTCACAACCACATTAATTATCTATTTAGGTTTATCCCTGCACTTAAAGACACCTGCTTAACCCTCTCCATCCTCTTCCCTACCTTCCCCTATCTGGCTATTTTTGTTCTGATTTAGTTCCAATTTGACGAAAATACTTTATAAAATAAGTTTCCTAGAGAGGGCACATGGTGTTATGTTTCCTGTATCCTTAAATGCTCAAAGTGTCTTTCTTCAGCTCTTCAATACAAATGAAGCTTTAACTACCAGAGTTGTTCACTGAAAAGTCTAAAGCACTCTTCACTGTTGTTCAGCTTCATTACAGAGAAGAGCAATTCAGTGCTGATTGGATTCTTTTTTTTGTGTATAACCTGAACTCTCTATGAAGAATCTTGTTAAGGGGGAGGTATAGCCCAGTGGTTGAGTGTGTATTTAGCATGTACAAGGTCCTAGGTTCAATCCCCAGTACCTCCATTAAAAAAAAAAAAAGATAAATAAATAAATCTAATTTAAAAAAAAGAATCTTGTAAAAAATATTCTCTGCATTCTTGCTAGAATTTGGAAATTCTACCAGGAAATCTCAGACTGTGTCTCCTCTTCTTCTTCAGTCCCCTGGCCTTCTGTAAGCCCATTCTACTTGAAAACTTCAATCTTCATCTCATAGACTTCTCCTTCTAGTAGCTAGTTGATCCTGATTTTATTTTCACGTGTTCCTTTCTCTTCCCCACCGTCCATCATTTGGATGAAACGTATCTCTTGGATCTTTTCTCCACATTTTGTGTCTTTTCACTCAGTTTCCATTTCCTCATATTTTTACCTTTATCACAACATAGTTTCACCTTTTGCTTTTCCAGATCGAAACTCAATTTTGAGTAGTATATATTATTTTTTCACTTTCCCTCTTGAGTGCTTAGAGTTGTTGGCTTTTGTTGCAGTTTTGTTTTTACTTCCTAGATTTTTCTCCCTCCTTGACTGTTTTAACAAGCCTACCTGCAGACTCTGACGCATACTCAAGTTTGAGAACCACTGCCGTGGGATGTGGAAAATTCGATAAATTTGAAAATGTTTGCAAATGATAACCTCTCTTTCATTCCATGAAGATGGAAGTAAAGCCAGTTACAGTCTACAAGTGAGTGATTTAATACAGAGCTTGAGAGAAGTGGCAAAATTTGGGAATACCCACTGAGAAAAATGGAGGAAGAAGGTGAAAAGGCTGGGATCACAGTCCATGAATTTGTGGCGTCACTAGTGGGTCATCATATACAATTTCATTTCCTATTTCTTGGTCACGATCACATGACCAAGGGTGACCAAAGACAGGAACGTAAGAGGCATATTCAGAGCTTACCTCATTAATAATTTTGTCATTTATCAAGGCGAAATTGACTTCATAAGATCCATCATAAACTAAAGAATCTTGGAATGAATTCTTTAACTGCAGTATAATCTGTTTATAACATTGCATTAATTTCTGATGTACAGCAGAGTGATTCCATTATTTAAATTTAAATAGAATTTAAATTTTTGAAGCATATCTACCACTATTCATTCTGTCATTGAAGAATCTCAAAATCTCTTCATAAGCATGACTGCCCTTTCTTTAAACAGACAAAATAAAGACAGGTCAGTTGAAGAGTTTCATCCAGGGTCTTCTATAAGCTAGTGGCACTATCAGGATGACTACTTAGGTCTCCTAAGTCATTGCTCCTTTATTCTTCTTTCCCGACTTAGCAGACTCCCTATTTCTCAATGCCCTGATCAGCCTAGAATTGAAATCCATGTGGTGAAGCCAGCACATCCATCCTTGTGGGAGCTGGTGGAGTTCAGCTCTATCTAAATGGACATCCTACTCCATGAGAAGCGACAGATCTGCTGAACAAAAGCAAAGACCTGGCCCAGCCTCAGCCCTTCCATCCAGGGCCTAGATTAAGTTTATCTGTGTGCCCTGCAAAACCTCGAGGCTCACCAGAAAGGTCTCTAAATAAACGTGGGTCCATCCAAAGAGAAGCAATGTCGGCTACAACATGAGGTCACCAGCAGATGGATGGTATCAAGTAAGTGGTGGTGAGAGCAAGAGGTTAAGTGAAATGGCTATAAATAGAGTCCTCAGAAGTATTACAAAAATCTAAACCCAGCCCTGAAGTCTTGGCTTAGGAACAGGCTCTCTGGCCTAGTGCCATCTGAGGGGGTCGGGGCTCCAGTGAAGTCACACCAATGAGCCTGCTGGGGAGGCAGACGGAAGGGCTTTCCAGACCACGCTGGCCGGGCTCCCGAAGGCTAACACGCTGCCCCTTGGGTTATCGTGAGGCCTTTTGCATTAGTTCATGCACATAAGGTCTTAGAACAGGGTCTGAACATTGTAAATACTCCTTCCATGTCGGCTCTTTCCCCAGAGTGACTTTGACACATGTCCACTCAAATGAACTCACATTTCCCTCCCGTTTAATGACTCATTTAATGACAATTAACTCTCTGGCCAACATGTGAGACTCCACCTGCCTCCTCCACCAAAAAGCACAGCATCCTCTCCTCGCCCAGCAAGCGCCACAGAGCAGACACCTTCCTCCCCCATGGCCGTGTCCTCCCACTGTGTCTGACAGTCCGCTTAAAATCACCTTCTATCGCCAGCTTTTTACACATTCGACGGAGAAGAGGGTGAGGATACGAGAAGAAGGAAAGGCAGGAGAGAGACTTTTTTTCAGTTCATAGAGAGGAAACCTGAGACTTGCAAACTGTTCTCCTCGGCCCCAGAAATCATCCCACTGCCAGCGTTTGATTCTTATTCTAAACAGTTTCATGCTCCAATCAGAGGCTGAGAAATCCATGACGTCATTCAGAGCCAATCCGGCACCAGACGGCCCGGGGGTGCTCACCTTTGTACTCCGCCAGGCACACGCACTCGTAGCCATTGACGAGGTCCCTGCAGGTGGCAGCGTTCAGGCACGGGGTGGAGAGGCACTCGTTGTATTCCTCCTCGCAGTAGAGGCCATGGTAGCCTGAGGGACAGAGACAGAGGTCTGCGGTCAGACTGGTACCATTTAAACCCACACTGGACCAGCCTGCAAGGAAGCAGCTGGGTATTCACTGGAAAATAACGCCCAGACAGACGGGATTGAAGGAGATGGGTCTCTTGGGGTACACTGAAATGTGCACTTCCAGGAAGGTTATGAACAATCTGTTCTTATCACCCCTTTTCATGATCCCAAGTATAAAAGAAGTGACCTCACTGATCCACCAGGCGGTCCCATTATGATGTCATGTCCAGTGGTACTGGGGACTGGGAGACGTGAGTTACTGAGTGCATCTGCTGTGGTCACAGGAGACAGCAATAGAAACAGGACTTACAGCATGGCAGGAACAGCTCCTTTCAAGGATGTGGACCCCATATCCCCTCCAATCCACTAGAAAAATACATCTAACTAGAGAGAATTTTATCAAAGAAGGAAAGGATCAATGATTTCCTTTGTTTTCAAGTCAGAAAAGAAACTCAGCTAAAAAGGTTTATCTGAAATTCTTGATGAAATGTGCAGTTTTTTTGTTTGTTTATTTAAAATGACAATTATCTAAATCATAATATTTTTAAATGTGCTTAAACTTTTTAATTATTAAAAATATAACGAAAGCAATGAAGCAAGAGAAACCAACAACTGCTCAACAAAGATGGCGTCTGCTCTCCTTTTTGCAAAACAGGTGTTTATTCTAAAGGACAAGAAGACAACATTCTTTGAGATGCACGCACGGATGTTAGGCTGTTTCTAACTTTCAAAAACATGTGTTACTGCCAATTTGCAGGGAAACTGGGCCATTTTTGTCTGGCCCTGTCCAAACAATGAGAAACATGTGAGCGCTCTCAGAACTCACCCTGCCTGTGTTGGTTCTGAATTTAGATAAGCAGAAAAAATAAACGTTTGCTCAAGTGGGAACTGGAACTACTTGCTCTTTTCCAGCCTTTTCAGCTCAGAGCCAGCCTGTCCAGCCCAGAGCCAGCTCTCCAGCTCAGAAAGTCCCATTAGGACATGCTAATGTGTTGAACTGTTCTGTTTCTGGTGCCTATCACAAAAGTAGGTTAAGCTCATATTTGCATTATTCACAGAGCACTTTTCAAGCATGTTGCCATTTCAGTTGTTTCTGAACTGCTTTCCACGTTGAGGCAGGGACAGTAGCCCCTCGGAGGGGACCTCGACCATCCCAAGACAAATACACTGGGGATTTCAATTCTTCATCCTTTTTCTAGTTTTATGGAAATATTCCCTATCACCCTTCATCAGATTATTTCAGTCATCTAGATCAGAGGTTCTCAGCTAACAGCAAGTTTGCCCCCTAGAAGATATCTGGCAATGTTTGGAGACATTTTGGGTTATCACAATTATGGTGGAGGAGAAGTGGTTGCTCCCAGCATTTAGTGCTGTGAAATATCCTACAACGCACAGAATAGCTCCCCACAACAAAAAACCTACCCTCTAAAATGTTAATACAGTCAGGTGGAGAAATCTTGCTCAAGATCAGGTATCACCAAACTGTGGTCCACAGGCTAAATCCATCCCAGTCTACTTTTATAAATAAAGTTTTATTGGGACACAACCACACTCATCCATTTATGTACTATGTACGGCTACTTTTGTACTATGACAGTAGATTGTTGCAATAGAGACCATATGACTTGAAGAGTCCAAAATCTTTCCCATCTGACCCATTACAGAACAAGTTTGCTGACTCCTGGTCTACATTCAGCAGAAAATCTTTTTTACAGGAGTTTTGGATATTAACTGCTTATCAAAAACATGGTTTGCAAACATTTTCCCCCATCCTGAAGGTTGCCTTTTACTCTGTTGAGCACTTCCTTTGCTGTGCAGAAGCTTTTTGGTTTGATATAGTCCCACTTTACTTTTGCTTTTGTTGCCTATGCTTTTGGTGTCATATCTCAGAAATCATTGCCAAGATCGATGTTATGAAGGTTTTCCCTAATGTCTCCTTTCAGAAGTTTTTTAGTTTCA